GCTATCACAGTTGTTGCACTGTTAACTTAGCATTTTCTAGCATACGTGTATGCACTGAGTGAAAACTTCTTTTTTTTTTGTTCGATATAGTTCTGGATATTCGTTTTGGGAACACAAATAAAATTCATTTCTTATACTGGTCAGTTATGGTTCAAGTTTTTTCTATTATATCCTCGGGTTGTTTGATTTTATTGCTATATTTCGATAATCCGATCCGGTAATTTGTACGCTGGGTTTGCGTCCTCATGTCTTGTTATAGGTTACTTTGATAGAATTCCCAGCGCATGTTTCGAAGTTCAGAACTTTTTTTGGAAGTTTTATGCTTTTTAAGCGTTAGCTTTTTGATTCGATTACTTGTTAATATTAATTACTTATTAATTTTGTTGCAGCAGAGACACGGGAAACTCTTCATTTCGAAGCTGGCAGTACGTAGTACGTAGTTGCCCGTTTCCTTGCAAAAAAGTGATAATCAAAATATTGTTATCTCATGTCGAAAGTTTTCGCATTTATTTTGCCTATTGTTGCTAAAAAAGTTCTTCAAGGATTTTATTGAAGGAAGTAACGGTTTTGCTGTCATAGAATAACTGAATTTTGTGATACCTAAGATGTTGTTAACAAATACTAAATTCCATGGAAAGTGCGATTTTCACGTTTTATTTTTTCCTTTCCTAGCATTGTACTGAGTTTCATATCTGCGTTTCAGTGTCCTTGAATGCCATGTATCTACGCTCAAGAGTATCACAAGTGAAGAACTATATTAATGCGAGGACTCTTAGAATGCATAGGTTTTGTTCTGTACATTTGTTATTCAGTGGGAATAGCCTGGTGATATGCAGCCAGAGGTTGGACGCCTATTATACCGACTACTTTTCCGTCAGCCACTATCTTTAAACGTAGTGGCAATGTTCGTTAATAACAATCCGCTGTAGAAACGGTGATTGTGTTGTTCAGAGATTCAGAGATTCGGTAATACTTTCCTTGGAGGTAGTGTAGGCATTCTCTTGACAGTCTTTCATCGTGAATGTCATTAACTTGTTCTTTTATTAAGTAGATCCATAGTAGAAATCTTCGGCTTTAATTCAGTCGTATTTCGTCACTTTTATAGTGACCTCCCGTTTTGAGATTCAAAGCATTTATTTATTGTTATCACAGCTACTGAAGAGAATGCATTTCTGATTCCATTGCCGTGAGAAGACAATTCTTAAAATGGTAACTTAAGTACAGAATCGGGTAATTGACCAATACCGTCGTTTCGACTCATCTCACAGCTTTCTAATGTGCAATTTCCGGAGATAATCCATACTTTGGGATCGCTTCTTACTTTGGTAGTCGTAACTGAAATTTTAACAAAACTCTGTTTAACGTAGTGTAACAAGGAAAGTGAAGAAATTGCATAAGTAACATAAATTTGTAAACGTTTGAATGAATATTTTTTAATGCTTTGTTCTGCAACATCCATTTTGGAGAGTTCTTGTTGGTGCTGCTAATTATTCAGTATTGGCTGTTACAGTATCGGCAGAGGTAACTACAATTTTCTGGGAATACGGTATACATTGATTGTGGCTATCCTTCATTGATTCGTTCGCTCATTGGTTTTCCGATCACTACTAGTGTTTTCAAGTTGCTTCATGAATATTTTCCTATCTTACCATTAAGCAGACAAACTCAGTCCAAAGCGTAGCAATGTCAGGTCATCTTTATAAGAGATATTTGGTACTTATGATGTTCATTTTGCATAAAATGATTTAAATAACTTAAGTAGAAGATGCGCAGCAAACAGTGAATGAAAGCTTCATACACGTATAAGAATTTTGGAGCTATTCTGTGGTATTGAGCTGTCTGTTCGTGAGATGAGTTGTATTATGGATGACACAACTTCAAGTGCATTTGAGCACCATCAGTAGTAAGGTCGGGGTTGTTCAGTCGCTTAATCGTTGGACACATAACCGACAACTTGTTTCAAACCTAAGCCGGATTCACTCTCCTTTCTTCCTTCTGAGGTTGATGCACGACTACCACTCTGTTGAAAGAAACAGAAAACTACACTTTATGCATGCCAAATAGCTGCCGTCAAGTTTTCCTTTCAAATAAGGCATTCCTAGCTGATGACAAGAAAATGGAGATCAGCATCAAACCATTAACTTCAGAAAACACTGGGCATCCGAAATGGCCCCGTCATGAAGGTGAAAAGAAGACCGATGTTCCAACAGTAAAATTTTCCTTTTACTTTTCTAAACGTTGACCGAAATGCGGATGGGTTTCGATAGAATTTGTTAGCTACAGTGTAATCTTACGGCTCATGTGTAAAATTTGTCGTGCTCTGCCAAATTTTCTAGACAGTCATTATTTTTCGGTAAATTAAGTTACCTCTTTACCCGTTAAAGGGAGGAGGAGGGTGGCGCAAAATAATGATTTACCGATGAAACATTGCGAAGTAAAGCTTGAGCCAATTTCGGCTTACACGATAGTATTTATTTTTGGCGAAATTGTTTATGTGAAGTTAGTTAAAGAATGCTTCATAACCTCTTGCGTATTCTAAAGCGTACCTTTGTAAATGTCCTTTTTTCAGAGAAAGAATGCCTCGGCAGTTACCCGACATAAAAAAGTTTTTGATCACAGCTAGGAGGAAAGATGCCAAGTCGGTGAAAATAAAGAAGAATCCAGATAACACAAAATTCAAGGTAAGCAAATGATTCCATTGTTTGAAGCCAGAAAATAAAGACTAAAGTAAAATACAGAGGGTAGATATCCCGCTTCCGTTGCAGCTTGGCCCATTTCAAGATAGCATTTGGCATCACTCCCATTATATGGCTAGTTATAATATTTTCTACAGAATATTATTATCTAATATCGTTGTTGCTTTTAATGATTTAAACATGACCTATCTTTCAATACCTCACAGAAAAAAATACGGTTCAGAAGTTTAAAATAAGTGATAAAGTTATTTGGCATGTAAAATGTGGGGAAATGTGATAGTGAGACCCTCAACCAGACCGGGTTCGAACTCGACAAGTTCGATCCACTCAGAAAGTCACAGTGTCCAGTGACAGTGAACCAATCCGAACTGTCCCATCTAAAGCAGAGCTGAATATTAAGATTAAGCATTCGGTGTTCACGTCGATCTTGATTCAGCTATGGTTATGAGTCGTTGCCCATAACTGATCCCGTGTACAAGCTGTTCAAATGGGCTTTTTGAGGTGATTCACTGGGCTCATTTGTCTTGAGATCGAAGGTTCAGATATCTGAAAGAATCTTGGTGTATGTCCGTTGCTTCTCCAGATTGAGAAGTAAGAACTGCAACGATTCCAAGAAATACGTCGAAATAGCTATTATTATGCTGAACTGACCGACCGAGGACCCCGCAGACGGTCAGAAATGACGTAGGAAAAGTGTTAGGACAGACTCTGCTCCAGACTCAGATTCTCTTCTGCCAAACCTGAAATTGCTAGTAGTGGTTGGATACACTGTTGTGCATTCTGCCTCCTCGTCATCGAAAATGACCGGCCGACTGTTCTCGTTTTTGGTCCTTAGTTGTCATTCAGTCAGGTCATAGATTTAAGAAGTCATGAGTTTATTAATGTTTTGGACTTGTAATTTTGTTACGGATCTTGTTGCTACCATTTGCCGTGCCTAGACGGTAATGGTTCATTCCTGCGTTCGCCATACTGTTCTTCAAGGATAGAGTCATTTTGCAGAATATAGTTGAGCTTCTGTCGTTCAGGGTATCTCATTTTGTAGAAGGTTGTTGGGAGACTAGTTAGTTCATATCCTGACAAGGGCAATTTTCATTTCATTTTTTTGTGGTAAGCAAAAGAGTATTGGCCTGTGGAGAGTACGTAAGGGCAACACTGTAGTCACCATTAAGCTGTGAACAGTAGCTTAAAAATGTCGTTCTTGACTGATGGACTTTCAAAGATAATAACAGCAATTCCACCAGATGAATTCGACAAGTCAGTGAAATTGGTGTTATAGATTTGTTTTTGGTTGATTGATCGACGAGAACCAGTGTTTGCTCCGTAAGTTCATGCCAAATTAACATTTAATTTATACCAATTTTAATAAATTAATTTTTACTAATTTTAATGAATTAATTTTTTGGCAACAGATGACGTGAAGTAATGCATCATTAGAATGAGAGTGATTTTTGTTCGTAGCGTGTTCGATAAGCATCATTATAGATATCATGATTTTTTAATAATTTTAAATGATGCCATGCAAAAAATAGAAATATGCTGAATGTGAGATTCAGTATTCGAAGGTTTTTGATGTGACTATGCAAGCCTATAAATTGTACCGGCTTCTGAAACTGATGACAAGAAAGCATAAACTGATGTAGTGATAAAAGGTTTTGACT